CCCCCCCCCCCCCCCCAGCAAAAAAAAGTGGTACGAATGATTTTTTAATGGTCTCTTCTCTTCCAGTGGGCATTGATTGCTAGTCGTATCAACACAATCCTCAGACTCGCTCTGGATTTCTACAGCATACAGCAGACTTTGAACAACGGCGGGAGTGGTTCTGCTATCAAGACAAGATGTGAGATGGAAGCTGATAGAATTGAGCAGCAGTTTGATGACTGCATAGCATTCCTTCTAAGGGTATTGCTTTTTTAAACCTTTTCCTCTACTTTTATTCCGCATCATCATAAACTGAAACAATTCGCAACATTCGCGTAGATCAGACAGATTGACCGTTTTGCAATTGTAGGTTCTGTCTTTCAAGATCAACGTGGGCCAGTTCCCTCATTTGGCTGATTTGGTTACTAGAATCAATTGCAGCTACTACTATATGTCTGATAATGGAACACTGGCAAGTACATCTTCCATGGCAGAAAAAGTCTTTCAAGTCAAGAAAGAATAAAATAAGCAAAGAGGGGTTTGTGAAGACTCTCTTGCTGAGATAGTGGTGGGTGCTGAAGGGTTCATGGTTTGTTCTCCTTTGTAGAGAACACCGTATCGCGTCATCTTTATATCTCTCAAGAACCTACTTGCAACGACATGCCGAAATGTGATTTCCGTCTGCCGAAACTATTTCTTGTAGATATAGAACTGGAAAAGCAAGCATGAGTGTTGCTATTTGTTAACCTTTATGAGCCATAGGGCAGGTTCATCAAAATTTTCAAAAACCCATAGTTAAAGCACGAGTGTTGTTATTTGTTAACCTTTATGATGCATGTTGTTTGGAGTAACATGGGGGTTTTGGGAGGGAGGTTAGAGGATGAAAGCTATCAATTTTTTCTGACGGAGCATCATAGGGGTCAATATCATAATGACACCCAAACCCAGTGTCAATTTAAACATTCTGACAAAATATTACTTGGGCACTATTTGTTCAATTGAGAAAATAGAGTTGAATGTGAGAAAATTTGAAAGCAGTGGAAGAAATAGGGGTTGGAAGAAGTTGAACTTTTTTGAAAGTTGAAAGAAGTTAAAATAAAAATTATTTTCATTAGATTTATTTTTTAAAAAATATTTATACTATTGTTTGTTTCATCTTTTTCTTTTCACTTTCTTATTAAAATAAGGCAAAAATAATAATTAAATCGCTACATTATGAAAAATGAAAAATCTACCAATTGAAGGTGACATAAAATCTAAATTCGGATAAGTGTCATCTTTGTGGGTATTTGATAGGGAGTAGTTTTTTATATAGTAGATCTAGATGTACGTTGTTACCCTCTCTATCTTAATATGACAATGTTCATTTGAAAAATGATCCGAGAATGACTCGGTTATTTAGGAACATTTACGGTACTTCATTGGTAAAATTGATGATTCATAGTCCCTACTAAAGTTAACGTTTCTTCATCTTCTTTTACAACTTCATCACCTACAGCTTCATCTTCGTCTTCATTTGTCTCTTCATAGTTATAGTTCTTCTTCCACTTCCCCCACAAGTCCTCTCATATCCTCTTCCATTTCCTTCCTCTATCCTCAAGACATCCCTCCTGAGCATCCACTTTATCCTCTAATGCATCAAGCCCTTTGTTTAGATTTTTGTTTAAATTTTCAATAGTTCTAAGCAATAGATCAAATGCATTGTCCTAGAAGAAAAATGCTTGCACAATAAGAATTAATATTATATATCACCACAAAGCTTGTTTTCTTAAGATATTTGAAATAACCAAACTTACTTGCAAGACAATCAGAAACCCATGATCTCTGGATTGTACTTTTCTATTTGCTTGAACTTTATGGGTTGAACAATAATGAAAGCTTCACCAAATCAGTACCTAGTACCGCATTGACATATTGTTCACGGAAACAAGAGAAAGTGCATTTCACCATGCTCCTTTCTCCAAGATATTTATTATAAATCCTCTCCGAAGTAGCATTCATCTTAGCAAAATCTTGATTTCACAAAAGTCTTCAAAGTTGAATTTTTGAACAGTCTCATTGATGATAAACCACAACTCATCTTTCGGTTGTTCTCGATGGTGTAGGGGAAATATATACATGACTTGTCTTGAAAATTGCGCGTTCAGCGATATACGCGTTGGAGCTTGGTAAAGATGTCATGGAGGTTAAAGATATCAACGATATACGCGTTTATCGATTGATGTCCGGCCTTCGAATTCGGTTACCGATGACTAAATCGAGAGAAGTAATCTAAGGTTTAACGAGGTTAAAAATATAGAAAATGTTTAGGAATAACATATTATTGCATAATTCACGTGTATTGTATGACTTTAGATAAATTCATACTTGCACTGGATGAGCATGTATTAACGCACTCTCAAGCATGGCACAGAGAGACCATTTGTGTAACATTTTTAAAAGTTCAAGTGGCACGAGTGCAATATTTAAAAATCAGGGAAAATTCGTGCAATTTTTGAAAAGTTTAGGGGTAAATGGTGCAAAAAACTCTAAATAATTATTGATGATAAAACGATTTATAAACTTGTGAAAAAGTCTAGTTTTTGTAGATTCAAAGTTTCTTTTATGAATTCACATAATTTAGGGACTTTAAATTATCTGGTAGAATTTTTTAAAATCCTTTTGATAAAATATATTAAAATCTATATAACTCTACATAGAATTAAAATAATCCACAAAGTTTATATAATCCATGGTATCTAAAGAATCTATAAAAATCTTTTAAAATCTAAATTGAATACATCCTCTTTAATACATAATTTTATTTATATTTAAAATTTAAAAAATAAATTAGTATTTATAATCTATATCTAGAAACGAAGCCTATTTTTTTCACACCTGTTTTTAAAACCTATTCTCCAAAAATGAATTTTTACTCTCTAAAAAATTCAAACAAATTCTTTTCAAATCCCGTAAAGTTTTGAAAAAAAAATAAATAGATGGATTGTTATCCGGTTAATAATATGCTTACACTTTATATTATTTTATAATTACAAAGCATTAAAACTATAATTTATAATAAAATTTATAACTATTCTAATTATTTATAATTTTAACTATTAAAATTTATATTTATAATTTAATAATTTTAAAACTATTTTAAAAGTAATAAAATTTTTAGTTTAAGTTAATTATTTAAAAAATGACTGCAGTAAGTTGACGAATTAACATACATACACCGCCACATGCAATATAAAAATATGAAATCAGTGAAATCTGATATGGTGTCGATGTGGATGAGAAAGATGATGGACTAAAAAATTATGGAGGTTATACATACCCTTCACATAGGCAATTTACTTGTGTATATTGAGAATAGACTCCGACAGAACGATTCATATGTTAAACATGTTTTGTGTGATATTCGTACTACTTCGTTAGGCATTATTTTTTTTGAAAACCATTACTCCGTGTTAATTAATGTGTGAAGAACAAAAATAAAATATGTTTATTTCATTAAATACAAATATAATTCTCTCTCTTTCTCTTTAGAACATAGTTAGTGAGAGTTTCTTAGAAGTTTTTTAACTGAAATATGATTATTTCACTAATCAACTCTTTTAGTCAGAGTTTCTTAGAAGTTTTTAACTAAAATATGATTATTCCACTAATCAACTCTTTTAGTCAAAGTTTCTTAGAAGTTTTTAACTAAAATATGATTATTCCACTAATCAACTCTTTTAGTGAGAGTTTCTAAGAAGTTTTTTTTTTATAGAGAAATATGATTATTCCACTAATTAACTCTTTTAGTGAGAGTTTCTTAAAAGTTTTTAACTGAAATATGATTATTTCACTAATCAACTCTTTTTTGAAAAATGAAACAGCCGGTGCTCCACATGTGCTCTACAAAATCTTCACATCACATTTTATAGGTTGAAGGAAGCACAAGGCAAGTAGTGTTTTACATGTGCAAGATGCAAGTTTCTTATGGTCCTTGATCACCTTGGATATGGCATTGAAGACATTTCAAATGTGGCATTTGAGCTAAACTCTCCGGAAGTCGTTGCCGCCATAGGCGAATCTTTACAAGTTGAGTCAAACCTAGGCTCTAATGATGAAGAAGGAGATAGTGTTGCCCCTTCCAAAACCTTGACAACTGTGGACATGGATGGCCTCCTCGTTGGCTCGCTCTGGAGGCACCAAATCGCGAGCTTGATCGTCTTCCCCACCTCCTCCCCATTGCACGTCATCTCCTCGTCGTTACCAAACCATTCGTGCACTGCCCCATCCAACAAGTGTTCCCCCTCCTCCTCCATCTTCTCCGTGACGATCTCTACAAGGGTCGGATTTTCTTGGCACTGAACGTTGAAATTCCTCCTCTGGAACACGACCTCTAGCACGACGATCCCGTAGCTGTAAACGTCTACCTTCTCGGTTATCTTCTTGCTCAGCCACTCGGGGGCCAAGTACCCGCGGGTTCCCCTCATTTGCGTGGCCGCAAAGCTCTCCTCTCTTTCCATCAACTTCGCCAGGCCAAAATCCGCCAATTTGGCATTGAACTCGCGGTCCAAGAGGATGTTCTGAGGCTTGATGTCTAGGTGAATGATCTTGCTCTGGCAATCCTCGTGCAAGTACGAGAGCCCCTTTGCAATGTGGAGGATTATCTTCTTCCGAATGCCCCATGGAAGCGAATAATTCGGGTTTTTGTCCCGCAATATCCACTTGTCGAGCGAGTTGTTGACCATGTGCTCGTAAACCAGAAGCCTGTGGGGTTCTCTCTCCGCACAAAACCCGACCAGTTTCACCAAGTTGAAGTGGTGGGTGTTCCCGGTTGTCTTAACCTCCGTTAGGAATTCCTTCTTCCCCGCTTGCTTGATGTAATTTAAACGCTTGATCGCCACCCTCGTCTGACAAAAGGCAATGAAGAAGGCATATTCAAGAAAACTAGTAAGAATTAACCTACGATACATCAACATGGAATACTCCATTTATACATCAAGCTAACACACACAAAATGTACATGTCACACAGATATTATGTGTATGTGTTAGTTTGGTGTGCAGCATTGTAGAGGTCCTTGTACTATATATCTAAAAACGTGCAAATTAATCCATACAATCAAAAGGATGGAATGAATTGAACTGTGAAATCAAGAAAAGGTGGGGAAGCAAATTACCCCATTGTTATCGTTTAGGGTTCCTTCGAAAACGCACCCAAAACTGCCGGCTCCGAGCATTTTTCCTCTGTCGAAATTGTTGGTTGCCGCCATCAATTCGTTGTAAGTAAATCTCTTGGGTAAGTCGGAGAGAAGCTCCGATGAGCTCTCCCACTCCTCGTCGGCCAACAATTCCTTCCATTGCCGCCGCCTCTTCTTGATGTAAAACACGGTTAGAGCCACCATAGCCGCCGCCAGCGCCGCCGCCGCAATCGGAGCAGCAATCAAGGCCGTCTTTCTCCGATCCGAACCATCCCCTGTCAGATCAACCTTGCGGTTTGTCGGCGCCCACGTGACGTTCATTTCCCCGTGCATCGGCGAACCCTCCGGCACGCCCAAGGCGGCCCACACGGCTTTCGAGGCGGAGAGCACGTTATGCGGGCAAGGCGGTTGGTAGGAGTTTTGCGCGTCGCAGCCGCTGTACGAATTGCACTCGTCCACCACCGCCGCCAGGACGGAGCGGCCGTTGCCGGAGATGTTTATCAGGTGACCGCACCGGGACCCGAAGTCATACCACCCGGTGGACAGAGCCACCACGAGGGTGGCGTCGGAATGATACTTGCCGTCGCACTCGCCGGTGCTCCCGCCGTCTTGGCCTTCCTCGAAGCCGCTGAGGTTGAGAACCCCCTCGGTCCGGTTGGTTACCGGCGGGGAGCACCAGTAGGCGGTGTAATTCTGCCCCGGCGCGCAGCACTCTGAGTCGTTGTCCTGGTTGCACTGGCCGGGTGGAGGTTTCCGGCCGGTGATCTGGAACGCCGCCCTGCACTCTTGGGCATTTGGAGTATGAGAAGTTAAGAAGAAGATGATGAACATCAACAAGATCATGACTGTAACATGTTTGGGACAATCAATTCCTGAGATCATTGCTGATTAATAATTCCAATCTTCTTCTATGAATTGATGGTTTTATGGGGCAAATGTTTTTTTATGCGATCATGACCAAAAATGTTTTTTTATGCCTTTGATTATTTGTTTATTTTTTATTTTTTTAAATTTATATTGGTAAAATTTGAATTTAAATAAAAATGATTCTAAATATTGATACAAAAATAGTTTTATTATGTTACTCCTTCCGTCCCAAATTGTTTGTCACATTTCTTTTTTTGAACGTAAATACATTTCTTTCATTAGGGGTGGACACGGTACCGGTACGGTACCGTCACCGGCAACGGTACCGCCGGTACCCGCCACCGTCACCGGCAAGGTTGCCGTGTCACCGGTTCCGGGAACCGGTACCGGTACCGCCACTTTCGGTACCGGTTCCGGTACCTATTTTTTGGTACCGGTATAATTTTTTTTTTTTTTTTTATTTGAAATGCAAAAAAGTTAAAAAAAAAAGGTGGGGGGCGAAACAATTGCATTCTTTCCTTAAACAATTGCAATTTTTTATAATTTAAAAATTAAAAAAAAAATAGGGGGGGGGGGCGAAACCGGCCGGTCCGGTACCGGAACCGCCGGTCCGGGAACCGGAACCGGTACCGGCCGGCACGGTATACTATCCGGTTACTCGGGGTGGCGGTACCGGAACCGTCCCGGAACCGTACCGTGTCCACCCCTATTAACAACCCCACTATTTGAAAGATTACATCGTTTATAAGCTTAGCAACATACTATTTGCATCTATACAGAGAGTAATTTTTGAAATAAAAACTTGCATTCTTCACAGCCGCCTCCAAAGTGTAAGTTTTCTGGTGGATCTTCGCATTTCTGATCTTCCAAGTTTGATAGCAGTAGTTAGCCCAAATAGCAGCCAGCAGGTTCCTCCGCCTTTTGTTCTTTGTATTCTTCATGTGTGTGTATACATCCTCATACCCCGGTCCTTCCAGCTTAAGTCCGAATCTGGACAGAAGTTGCAGTCTTAGTTCCTTGGGTATTTTGCATTCCCACATGAGGTGCTTGATGGTCTCAGATTCTTCTCCGCATATACCACACTTGTCTTCGATGTCCATGAAATTTTTGAGTTCAGATCTTGTTTTGAGTCTCCCCTTACAGATCATCCACATTATGAATTGGTGTTTAGGGTGGGTAGGTTTGCACCAAACCCATTTCACCTAATCTCGATAAGAAATGATGTATTATTGTTCATGCCATCAAAATCCTTTCTCACACTGAGCATCATTTTCCAATAGAATGGGCTATCATTTCTTGGTTGGAAACCCCAGAAGTTCTCATCCTTAATGTACCTAGAGTGAACCCATTTAATCCATAAAACATCTTTTTTGTTAGCGACATCCCAATTTAATTTCATTATACAAGCCTGGTTCCATTTGAGGACGTTTTTAATGCCCAAACCACCATGTCTGATAGGTGTGCAAGTCTCATTCCAATTGATGGGTGGTGCCTTTTTGTAGTCAGTAGATCCTTCCTAAAGGAAGTTCCTACAAACATTCTGGATTTTATAAATACTCCGTAACATCTTTGGGAATGAGAAAAATTCTGGACCAGAAATTCATTATTCCAAATAGGACCGAGTTAATAAGTTTAACTCTGCCCGCATATGATATGTGTTTACTCCCCCAGGCAGTAATCTTTGAAATAATCTTCTCAGTCAAGCAACTACATTCACTTTTAGATAGCCTACCCGAAGTGATGGGTATACCCAGATAAGAAAAAGGAAGCTTACCAATTTTCATACCTGTTATGCCTAGCAGCTGTTGTTGAGTCTCTTCTGGGATGCCACTAAATACAATATGGGATTTGTTTGGATTAATCTGTAATCCAGTCACATGGTGAAAATGTTCCAATACTTTCATAACAGTAGTAATTGATAATAAAGTATTTTTTTCAAATTGATAATTTCTAAGTAAATATTTTCCCGAAATGGAGTCCATTAACCTACTTGGGGTGGGTCCGTTCCTCTAGCAGCCACTCACTTAATTTGAAAGGATTATTTTGAAGACTTATTCATTGTTTAGATGATGAAAATACCAAAATTTCATCCATTTAACTATTATTTAATAAACATTTTTGAAAGTAGACTATTTAGGTAATACATATCAATTATAAAGGATCACGTTGGTAATTATTGGTTATTGAAAACTTATTTGAAAAACACCTTATTAGAAACAACCGTTTTGGAAATTTACTCTTCTTTTTATTACTCATTTTTGTTTTTTCTCCATTCGTCTTAAAAAGATTGACACACTTCACTATTTAAAAATCACGAGAATTTTGTTTTTTTTCGCATTTTCATTGATTATTTAATAAAACATTATATTTTTGTTACCTCTTATTTTATAGAACTTTTCACGTAGTTTTTAAATATGTAAGTTTTATTTTTTATTTTTATAGTAATCTTTAAATAGAATAAATTGAAAAAGCTCAAAAACTTGTTTCGTAAAATTACAATCTTTTTGGGATGAAGAAAGTACTATTTACATCATACCATATTTCATTATATTTGTGTTGCTCGTAATCTTTTTAATTTAATATTGTGTATTGCTCCCTCCCTCTTAAAATGATCTTTAGAGTCATTATTTACACAGTCAAACTTTAATCATTTTCTTTATCTATTTTTATTAGTTATTTGAAAAAAATAATATAATCATGACACCTCTTATTTTGTAGAACACTTAATGTAGTTTTAAAATATATACTCCGGGTAATTTTTATTTTTAAATTTTATACATATAATCAAATAAATTCAATCGAGAATAATTTCAATCAAACCTCGTAAACCGAACAGGAAAGATCATTTTAGGACGGAGAGAGTTATATTAATCATACAATTTTTTTATGTTTCTTTAAAGAGTAAATTTCATAATTGGTCCTTTATAACAGAGAGATTTCCATATTTAGTCTTCTATTATCAAATATTATCTCAGAGGTCCTTCTTTTATGTGTATCTTTTCACAAATAGTTCTTTTTTGATCTTCTATCATGTTGGTGTTAATTTGAGGGCTAAAAGTGTAATTTTACAATGATAATATATCTATGTTACCATACACAATTCCAAATGTTGTTCTGTTTGCATCGTTTGTGAATTACAATCGCTTTCTACTACAACCATAGTCTACAAATGTGGTCTTTCGTCGGAATCCTAGCCCACAGTCATAGTCATTATTTTTGTGTTATCCACTTAACCAATATCATAACAGGTCACTAGACATAATGTTGATGTCAAATTATACTTTTAGCCTTTAAATTAACACAAACGTGGCAGCAGATAAAAAGAGGACGATTTGTGGAAAGACACCCTTAAAAAAAGGATTGCAGAATAATATTTAATAATAGAAGACTAAATATGAAAATCCCCTGTTATAAAAGAGTAATTATGGAATTTACTCTTCTTTAAATATGAGAAGGGACCGGGGGAGGCATATTATATGAGAAGGCAAGTGGGTTGAGAGTAATAAATAGTCCGTCTGGTTGTTGGGACAGTTTTGGATTTCATAAGACGAAATATTGAAAGTTGACCACATCAAGTGCGGATGAGGTTGTTGGATTTGGATGATATATTATGAGAATTTTTTAAGTTTGTGTCCTTTTAAAGTTTTAGGTGGACCCGTCCCGTACTCATAATGTATTTTTAAGTAATTTAAAAATTGTTAATATATTTTTTAAAATTGTTGAAAAATTGTTAATATATATTTTTTCAAATTTCTAAATATATTAGATGTTTAATATTAAAATTAAATTAAGATCAGTACACATTCAAAAGCCTAATTAATACTCCGTATATGAAACATGTTTTTAGTGACACTGTTATGATTACTTTTTTGAGAATTATTATCAATGTGCGCTGGCAATGATAAAAATATGTTATTTTCATTTGATAAAATACTTACTATCTTCATCCCAGAGTATTTGTCCAGTTCTTAATTTTTTCGGTCAGTTATTTTTAACCTTTGACATATAATTAAATAAAATATATATTGTATATAAACTATATAAAATGATATTTTAAAAATATTTGATATTATAAATTTAATAAAATTATTTTTGTATCAATAACTAATATCATTTTATTTAATTTGAAATCAAAGTTTACCAACTTTGACCGAAAAATGTTAAAAGTGGACAAATACTCAGAAACGGATGTATAATTCTTTCTTTTTTTCTTAGATGTATAAATGCATGGGTGTTTAATATAATAGTAATAGTACATATTACAGTATTGCTGTTAATATAATTATTAATGTTGTTGTTATTGTTATTATAGTTATTATTATTATTATTCCCTCTGTCCCAAATTATAATGTTTGTTCACTATTCACATAATCAAACTTTATTAACTTTCTTTCTCAATTTTCGTTAGCAAATTGATAAAATAAAGTACTATTGTTACTACTAGTTTTGTAGATCTTTTGATGTAGTATCTTAATGTGTACGGAGTAATTTTTATTTTTTAACTATATACCATTTCTCATATAAAATGATTTGAAAATAATTTCAGTCAAACATCGTAAAGTGAAACAGGCATTATAAAATCGGACGGAGGGAGTATTATTATTATTATTATTATTATTATTATTATTATTATTATTATATCATTATTAGCTTTTTGGACAATCTTGGTTAGGAGCTCAAACCCGTGGAAGAAGACTGAAATCTCTCTTTTTTCTCTATTTTTATTTTTTAATATACTCCGTATAATGTAGTAATAATATACGTAATGTATTAATTTTATTAAAAAAATATTATACTGGTATATTATTTAAAGCAATACTGTAATATAAATTATAAGTATAAATGATTATTGATTAGATCGAGTGGAGAATATAGAGAATAGAAAATTAGAGAGTATAAAATTGATACGGAATATTAGAGAATAGAGACTATTGTATGAAAATTAAGGTCTTGTTTGAGAATATCGTTTTCGATTAGAGTTAGCGTTTTGAGTAAAATTTTAGTTGCGTATATTAATTTTGAAAACACTAATGCTAAAGACAATCATCGAATAACATTTTCAAAACGCTAACACTAACCTCAAATGCTGATATCAAATGAGGCCTAAATAGAATTGTGGGAATATTTATAAGAAAAAAATTTACCCCACCCTTGCCAACATGACAGCAGTTGCATGCATGCAACGACATTATAGTCATTGCCATGCAACCCCCCCAAACGGTCAAAGAGTAAATTTCTTCATTTCATAAAACCTCTTACGCTTTGGATTATTATGCTGAACTAAAATATTTTTAAAAAATTTATTTTAAAATTGGTGTACAAAAAAAATACGCTCTCCGTCCCCGAAAGTGTTTACCTTATTGACTTTTTGGAAAATTAAGATAGGGATATTTTGGTGTTGACTTTCTAAAAATACTCTTGATGTGATGGGTAAAAGTAAGATGTGATGGATAGGTTATTGGTAAAAAGGTATGATGTGATAGGTATGATATGAAAAAGTAAGGGGTAAAAATAGTCTTTTAATAGATAAGGAAAGGAGTTAGTGAAACAAGAAAAAAAGAAAGATGAGTAGTTTAAGTGACGGAGGGAGTAAATATTACTCCGTATATCTTTAAAACTACATTTAAAGATCTACTTCGTGCGTAGAAAGATGGGACATAATAAACTTAATAAGATGGAAGGAATATATTTATAAAAAAAAAGGTGAAGGGGGATTTTTGTTCCAAAAAGAGAAGGAAAAACAAACAGTATATGGAAAAGAAAGAGTCAATAGAAGATGCTACTAAATAGTGTCACATAAAGTTCTCTGATCTACAGAAGAACTGGTCAAGAGCCTATCCCATCTGATATCTATGTTCTCTCTGTTAGCATAAACTGATTCTTTCTCACCCACCCATCACACCAAGCTCTCATCTTTCCCTGAAACTTTCACACATGTCTGCAAGCTTAGGGGCAAAGTCATTGTTCTTCAGGTGTGATAATTAATGTCTGATCTGCAAACCTGAAATGAGAGAACTTAAAGTCTTTTTTTTTGAACTTTTTAAATATTTTTCTAAAAGACTGCATCAAGAGACGTCGTTGCAAATTCATTTACCTGTCGTTTCTGCTTCGCACGGGACTTGCACAGTGCATGCTCTGAGCGAACCGAGAGGAAGCCGCATGTGAGAAGCCATGGTGTTGCCTTGGAGACCCAAATCCAGAAGTGAATGGTGGTGGTGTGCATGAGTGGCCTCCATTCATGTGAGAACCTGCAAGAGGTTGGGCATATGGGCGAAATGCAGGCGAAGATACTTCTCCGCGGCTGTTGCTGCTGGTTTTGTTCACAGTTTCCTTGGGCAGTGGTGGAACCCACCCTTTGCTGACCGTGCTTCTGTGAAGCTGCCCATAGCCGCCAGCGAAGCTTTTGCTTTTCCCCTTTCCCTTATAATAACCTGCAGCTCTCTCCCTGAAAGGTTTGATCTTCAAAAATATTTCTCATGTTAGGTCAAGAAACTTTCCCCAAATTACAAAACCAATTTGGTATGATCTTTATGAGTGCATGCAATTCAAACTAAGAAAATGTGACACTCTATCTGGAAGAGATGCCTTACGAGCAAGATTTTTTTTTGGAAATTGTTGTGTTTATTATAAATAACATTAATAGTTACAATAACTATAATATACCATGGTTGGCAAGAAAGTTCCAGTGCCTCGTGTTTTCAGTTTCTCTGGAAAATTGAAAACAGGAGCGGGTGGTAAAATGTTAACAGCAGAATGCGATGGCACAACAAACATGGCATTCATGTTTGTTTGGGGGAAAAAATGCTGGGGAGGAGGAGGCATCATCATGGGTTGTCTGTCAGTGACTGATAAGAACCCATTGTTGTTATGAAACCAAGGTGGAGATGAAGGCATTGCTATGGTTGCAGCAAATCCACGGCAACACTTTCCATACAGCAAACTCCTAATGTGGCCATCGTAATCCCCAGTGAGGTCTGCCAGAGGATTCCAAACTTCTGAATCGCCCGATATGCTAGCAGAGTCACACTCAGGTTGTTGGCATGATGGACCACCACATCCCGATTTCTCATCAACGAAAGTGGGTTTTTCGTTGTTGCATGAGCTCTTGTCATCCTTGCAGCCTTTTTCTGAAACCATCTCCGAAGAAACCGCCATGGTCAATGTATTCCCCGGGTCATTTGTTAGGATTGAAGAAGCACGTTTATCATCTTCAATTTCAGAACTATCACTGGTGGGAGATTTCAAGAGTAAGTCATCTTCAGAGAAATAGTCAGCAGGAGAAGGTGAAGACAGTGCCACAGAGCTGTCACCACCAATACTTAAGGTAGAAGTCTTTAGTTTAGCCAAATAACTTGGTCCATGCATCTTGATGGTGTTGGAAAAAAACTTTTTCACCTCATCTCTAACTTTATCTTGAGGCAATGAAAGGATTTGTCCAAGCGTACGAACCCCATACTTGAAAGCACTACATATACGGTAGTAATTACCTGCACATAAAAAGAATGAGATGATCCAATTCTTCAAGTGCAACCTTACATCTTAAATAATTGAAAGTCAATAATGCCACATTTAGAAATTTATGTGCAGGATGGATAGCTAACTTTGGCACTCGCAAAAAGCTTTTCTTACCCAAAAACAAAAAAGTATCATTCAATCATATTCATTCTTAAGGCACTTATTTTGAAAAAATTACTCAGACTTTGCTAAGTGGTTTATAAATATCATTTACCGCTTGTTTAAATAGTCGGGGTGACTTTCTATATTAAAAAAACCTAACTAACCAGCAAAAAAGGAAAGGATTTTTTATATATACTCCTAGACCTGGCAATCGGGTCAATCGGTTTGGTTCCGGTTCGGGTCTTTTCTGTTCGGATCTCATTCGGATATATGTTATAATCGGTTCAGGTCGGTTCGGTTCGGGTCAGTTTGGTTCCGGGTTAATTTTGGTTTGACTGGTTTTCGGTTTCGATTCGGTTTCGGTTCGGGTTTGTATCAGATCGGGTTTATATCGGTTCGGGTTTGTATCGGTTCGGGTTTGTATCGGTTCGGGTTTGTATCGGTTCGAGTTTATATCGATTCGGGTTTGCATCGATTTAGGTTTATATTAGTTCAAATATATATCAAATATTTACTAATAAATCAATAATATCACATAATAAATTTAATCAATTTATGATATACTCTGTAGTTATTTTATTATTTAACACGGACGTACATAAAATTTAATCAATTTCGGGTCTAATCGGGGGTTTAATCGGGTTCGGGTTTTATCGGTTCAGGTTTAATCGGATTCGGATCTGAATCGTGTCTGAATACATTCGGTTCGGGTTCGGTTCGGTTCGGTTCGGGTTCGGTTCGGTTCGGATCATTTCGGGTGTTCGGGTCTATTTCGGTTCTTCAGTTTTCGGGTCAAATCAGGTTTGGTTCAGGGTTATTCGGTTCGGGTTATCGGATCCGGGTCAGTTTTGCCAGGTCTATATACTCCACATCTCTTTATTTCCTATTGCAATAGAAACTTTTGTCTACAAAATAAAGATCAAAGCTTACCATACCTTTATGAACACTTCGGCCGACATTGTTATTTTCCTTCAAGGGATCAATTATGTTAAGATGTTTTTGCTGAAATGCCCTTTTGTTACTTTCAGGGACCACTGCTGGAACTGAGAACATTTCCATACATTTCATCAAAAATTCTTCCCCTAGCAACAGATCATTCCTTCGATTCTCTGGCAAGTCGACTGCAATGAGAATAATGTCTCATTAGTTAAAAAATAAATTAAAATAGAATCGTATATACACGTCCTGTGGAAATACACAAAAAGGTTAAGGCATTTAATAACAGAGAAGTTAATTCAATCCTTACCCACTATCTCTGGGAGGGACGACGTCAGAACTGGCCCGTTCAAACTGATACAGTACTTTCCCCAATCAAATTTGCTGTAGTAGTCCAAAAACCTATAGAGAACCTAATTGAAATAAACCAAACAATCAAGAACTAAACAAGATAAAGCACCACTGCATCCTGGGTAATGTCAATATGGTAATTTCACTTCAATTACCGCGACAGGAGTGTTCAAAGATGCATGAAAGAGTTGGAAGATATATAAGACCAGTATTTCCAATGCATATGTTGATATCAAACCATGAAGGGCACCAAGTATCCGGCTTTCATAGTAGCACCAACACTTTATCAGCATAATAGTTCGCTTGAAAAGGTGATTCTTGCCAACAAGGCGATCTACCTGGATCACAATAATGATGAATTGCAGAAGTATTGACAAAGCAAAACTGGTAGTTCATGCAGAAAAAGACATTCAAGCGGAGATTTAAGAAATGAACTATGGCAATGGAAAAGCATAATAGAAACATGTATATGGAAATGACATCATTGTATCCAAAGAAGAAAATATTAATTAACCAAAAATTTCCAGATACAGATAACTTTGAACCTAAGTAAACATCAGTTCAAAATTTTAAAAATTCAATTAGTGGTAAAATCTGCTGAAGAAGCATTGTATTGAACGTGTCTTGCCCTATGAGTTAAACCAATTTACTTGACAGATTTAATTAAACTATGTTCTGAGCAAATCGAGTTTCATCACATTACAGACTTCCAGACACCAAAAATAAGAAGTGCTGAAGCATTGATATTTTACCTGCTCAAGGAAACAAAGAGTGCAAAGCCCTCCTAACTGATTAAAGGATATATCAATCACAATGTCCTGAACGACACATCTCACGATTTTAACCTGCCAACAGAAATCCAAATACCTCATACAAAGGGGATAGTTTGCACCACATATTTTCCGCAAAGTTAGACTTTGCGACCCATGCTTTAAATCCTTTGAGTTTGCACCCATGGATAGGGTGCAACATTAAATTGTTCAAAATATGGGGTGCAAATGCCAAAAATCTCTAAAGGAAATACATGAAAAGAAGAAAGTAAAACAGTAAGCTAAACAATTTATTGCTCACAACCAAAAGGTCATTGAGGAGGCAGAACATACATGAAAAAAGAAGAATGTCGAACTCTAATTACTTCAACTAGTTCTATAATTGAACTTTCCCATGTGCCACAACAATTATTGTACTCTCAGTTTGATGTATGCATATAAAAATGCCAAGCCCACCATAAATATGTTTCCCTTTTAGTGTATTTTGCATGGGAGCCTCGCTAAATAGATGCCCTACTGATGCGCAATAACTTTCAATACACGCTTAAGTGACTTTCCTCTTATTTCTGATTTGCTGAGTTTCCATTGCTTCACCCTCCATCAACTGGTATAAAACCCCTTCAACAAAGTACCGTGTTTCAAAAGCTTGACAGCTTTCTATTAAAAATTCATCTGAATTTTTTCTACACCCAATCATGGTGCTGCTCAGATATTACCTATAGAAAGCGGAATTGGAATGCATGGATACTGCAGATAAAAGTATAAACCAACTAAAGCAAATTTCGTGTTAACAAGTATTAGTGCTAACCAACTTCTCTAATATATTCGGAGTCAAATGCCATAAAGTGAGGTCAGAATGGGATCAGCCTTATCAAAAGAAGGTAATCACCATGCATTTCAGAGTGAGAAACTGAAAGCCACTCGGCAAAAGAGGTCAACCAACAAACAAGAGCTATGTGCAATTTGGGAGCACTGCAAGGGTAACTGGTTTGAACTATACTATGGCATGTAGAGGTTCAAGTTCCGGGTTCCAGCTTCTAGTCTCAAGACTCTAGCTTCTAGAGTTCAAATAAATTTAAGGCAAAAAGAACAAAACAATATTCTAGCCCAGGTTCTAGTTACTAGTTTTCTGGTTCCAGTTTCTAGTCTCTAAAACTCCAGGCTCTATACAATAGCTTCGAGGCCGGACACTCTACACATGGACGAAAAGAACAAGGTCTAAACATATCAACTAGTATATCATGACCCAGCTACCATGTGTGCCAAAGTGATCATTTATGTTCCTGTTTTCCTTTAAATGTATATGCATAAGGATTCTAAATAACCACCTCAATTAGAAAATAATGTTTCCATTGCATGGGAATACAAGACCCTCGCTATAAAAAGGCCCTAAGGATAGGAATGGCAACGGGTCGAGTTCGAATCGAATTTTCTATACCGAATCCGACCTGACTCAATATTTGGGTACAAAATTGTGACCCGAACTCGACCCAGCTTTAAATTCGACTACTCGAACCCAACCCATCCCAAGTAATAATATGTTTTTTAAAATTTTCAACTTTACTATATGAGTTTCTATATAAAATTATAAAGTACTCCTTTCATCCCTTTTTAATCTTCTTTTTTACTATTCACAGGGTCAAACTATACCATCTTTCTTTACATATCTTCATTGACCATTTGATAAAATAATATAGTCATGTTACATCATATTAGGTGGAACTTCTAATGTAGTTTATAAGTTATAACCAATATTTAAATAATTTGAATTTAAAATTAACTTTAGTCACACTTCACAAATCGGAACGGGAAGAATATTTAAGTACAAATGGAGTACATAAAAGTTTAATTATACTACGTAATCAATGATGAGCATAACATGTACACTAGAAATAAGATTCGGTAAGAGATTTGTAATAAAAAAAATTAAAGTCGTCTAAAATAATACCGAGTACTACGTATTTCATATATTTATTTTAATGATGACTTGGTCGGATTCGTATTGTTTGGGTTGATTATAAGCAATATCTAAACCCAACCTGACCACTTCGGGTTTCAATTTGTAGGTCGGATTCGAGTATTTTAAGGTTGTGGCTAATCGGTTAAGGTCAGGTTCAAAATGATTGTCATCCCTTCCTAACGCGCACTAATGCAGGATTACTTTTGGATCAATGGACAGTAATTTACATGTTCTTTCTAATCCTACCAAGGTTTTATTCTTTAGTCCTCCATCACCAAGTTTCTATCTTAAAAAGGAACACAGCTTACCAGTTACCACCAAGCTAAGTGCCAAACCCAGCATACAGGGAGGTGTGCAAATCACCTTGAGTGTCAGTAACAAATAGAAGAAGCAAACACTTGCAAGTTGCAACCATTCACTAATTGTGTAGAACGCACAATATTACACACTGTAAAAGATTTAAATAAAGAGAACCTCAGCATCAATGAAGTGGGTATCCCTGACATCATACTCAGCATTTGGTTTCTGCTGTTGTGCCTGCAGAATCGCGAGCACATTATGTGCCAAAGATTCTTCGTAGCCAGGGGCGCTCACAGCAGTTAAATCTATGTCTCCTTCGGGAAGATATGTCTTTAGTGGCACTGACCCATACGGAAGAACCTAAAAAATCCAATATTTTATAGTGAATAAATATGATAAGATGAAGGTGGTAGGTACGAAAAATAACAAATACTGTAACAGCACATTATAACTACTACACTGCAAAGCACATCATCTTCATTCTAAAATACCAAGATTGTTTTGAACTATGGATCGTCTAGAATGCCATGTCAGATGATGATAGTTAGCTAATAAATGTATTTTTTTTATTTTACTGAAAAAAAATCAGTATGTTATCAATCTTTGCATAAATTGATCCATTTTACTCCGGATGTTTCTCATTGCACAGTTTTTGTTTTTTTATGTTCATTTTTTTTTGCCTAAAAGATGAGTCTCCTTGTTTTTTACATGGGGAAGGTTGTGTTACTTATGTACATTCTGACCTCCCGCCCCTCGCCCCACGGCCCCACCACACCAACAAAGTTGGGATTGCAGTGCGTTTGTTGTCCTTTTTATCCTTTAGGTGGAGGTGTGGATCGGATCGTCACTTGATGTAGTGATAGAATTACTCCTCCAAAAAACATTGTGTGGCAAATTCATGCTTAACTGAACTAACCATTTCCAAATTACAACAGTAACTCCATAGAATCCTAGAATTCATTTACTAGTTTTACTTCTTTGAAAAAGCACAATTGATGGATAGAAGCTCTTTATTTTGCATGTATTCACTGACTCATCTAGAAGTACTCAAATGGATGCCTGCTGAATACATATCCAAGTTTTACCACAAATCACTCAATGGGAGAATGAAGTACTGGAACTCTTGAAAAAGCAGTTTCAGGTCTAGACAGACAGCCAGACAAGATACTCAATGTACAAACATACTGGATTGTAGATCCTTTAACATTAACATGCATCATAACAAGCAAACTGTAGTATGAAAAACATTGCATCAATGCTAGCAAAATTTCAGAAAAACAACATCGGTCCCACAAGTGGGTTCGGGGAAGGGTAGGCCTTACCCCTACCCAAAAGCAAAGACACTTCTACCTAAATGTAGAAGTGAGTTAGAACAATAAAACATTGAAAGATGAAGAACAAGGGTAAAACAACTACAGACTAAAGTTGGGTAAATAACAACTTTCAAAAACAGAAAGGCATCGTTCTACCCCGATTTCCCCTCATATAACCCGAGTCCCAAGTGAAATTACCTACAACTTCAATACTTATTTGATTTCCATTCCTTTGCTTGAGACCAAAATTGGACTTGAGCAGATGGACTATTAACAAAGAAAAGTCATGATTCAGAATTTTGTCATTTTTCCCATGTAACTGACATTTGACGGATACAAATGAAAACACATACACTGCCGCCTCCCCCAATTTTACAAATTTGAGATTTCAACAAAAGGTAGAATGTGATAAAACACCAAGAACCTAGAAATTATATGCTCAAATACAAATCTCTTGCAAACCCAAAAAAAGGGTGTCTGCGATCTGCATACTGGCAAAGATAAACGAAAACAAAAAAAACACGAAATGAAGCAGATGGTTATACCTCACAGGGAGCATAGCTTCTAATGAGTTTCTGCAGGAACTCAGTGATGTCACTCCTCTTCTCCTCAGAGTCCATAGTTGGGTGGACATAATTCACCACTTCCTTTGCAGTTTCCTCCAGTAATGCCCAGCAATCATCACCAACGGCAGAGGGATCAGGGTGATTCATGGCCCTACGGACCCCCATTCCCGGCCTGCTTGGCCCTGCACCTCCATCTCCGACGCAAACCGCCATAGCTCAGAACTCAAATCCCACACACCGAAAATCTCACAGAGCTTTTAGGTTCTAAAGAACGATGCAGCTATGTACATACACGAAAACGGAATAAACAAGATGAAATGTGTCCCTCAAATCATTTATATATACAGAGACAAAGACAGGTACAGATTAAAACCTGTGATAAATACAGCTTCGATGTCCATAATCTATTTGCATTAATGCCAGAACGAAAAGGCAAGGGAATAATGGGGAGAGGGAGACGATTCACAATTGTATGGCATCTCCCCAACCCCCTTCTTCCCTTACCTTAATGAATTCTTCTTTTCTTCCTTCCTGAATTTCAAATTATACCCTTTTTTCCCTCTCTCTATATGAATTTGTGCGCTCATTCATGCATGTAATAAGAACTCAGGAAGAAAGGGGAAAACCCCAAACCAAACCCATCCAAATATGGAAATGAACATATTGCAGTAATTATTAGTGTTAATATAAATGCGCCAGATATAGAAATACAAATGCCCATATTTCAAACAAAAAGCTGTTTTGCCCCCTTATTGCCTTCATGCCTCGTTCTTAGATACGGCTAGGATTTTACAGAGAAGATTTTCCACACAAATTTTGGAGTTTTGGAGTCACTGCATCATACATTTTGTATATAGGGTATTTTTTGAGAAGTTATTCTGTTATTCTAAAGTGGAGTAGTATTCATTGTCGCACAAATATAATTAGCGTGGTACTCATTGTAGAATAATGCAGTACTCATTTTCATACATAGGTTCAATATAATTATAATATTCATCTAGAAATAATATACTGTTTATTTTGAAACAAAACAATAATCATTCTCAAATAACTTAGTTTCATTCTCATATAAAATAAAATCCATACCATAAATAATTTTTTTGCAAAAATTGGGTACAATCAGATAAATAATATAATTTGCCGTATTTTTTGTATATTTGGGTGAATACCCATTTTTAATAGGCGAATTCTTTTGTGATCTTTAAGTTTATGCTCGTTTTATGTATCTTCATATAAAAAATATTCTCTCCGTTCCAGTGTATTTGTCTAGTTTGATTTTTTCAAGTCAAACTGGACAAACTTTGAGCTTTAATTAAATAAAAACCGTAATGAATTTTAACATAAAAATGACTTTATTGGATTTATCGTATTGAGAACTTTCAAAATTGTATTTCATTACGCTAATATGCAATATAAATTGAGAATAATTGGAGTTCAAAATGTGTCCAGTTTGATTCAAAAAAATCAAACTAGACAAATACACTCGGATGGAAGTTGTAATTTTTTGTATTCGGCTTGTATAAACAAAGAGATCCAACCATAAACTCATAAAGAAAAATGTGAAATGATTCATATTTTACGTATCAATCAACTTTTTTATGATCACAATTACACAACTCTTTCAAGTAATAGGATATTGACTTTGGGCATTTATTTATTTTAGCATATACCTGATATTCAAAATATGTATCTTACAAAATACATAAATCATATGTTAATTTGAAAAGCTACATAATACACATTACGTTTATACAGAATGTACATTTACGAGTTATTATTCATTTCAATTAAATGATTTGTAACTATAATAAAAAATATGTGAAATAAGTATTCTGTTACTCACGAATGAGGATTCGTCACGAATATACGTGCAAATATTGTATATCTGACTGATATGGTATCGTATCGGGATAATGAAGGATTTCGAGCACCTTCAAGCTCCAAGAGAAAAAGTGACGAGAAAGTTAAAGAGAGAGAATCGCGAATCCTTGTTCAACGGAAGAGAAGCACGAGAGAGAAAGAGATAAGAAAATTAGAGTTTAGGAGAATGATTTCTTTATTGATTGAATAATAATTTTATGAGTAGTGGCTACATATATAAATGGTAGATCTAGAGAACCCTAACCATACAAGGTAACTAAATAAACCATAATACTAATAATCTAATACGTAGTATAATTATATTTCGTAATAATAATATAATTATCTAACCATAAATAATAAAACTACCTATAATAACAATAATAGTAATATAATAATAATGGTAAATAACTAAATATAAACACGTATCACTCTTCCCACCTCGGAAACCAACTTGTCCTCAAGTTGGAAATCAAATAAAAAACGGGAAAAAGTTAAACCATTCATCGTCCATCCTCCGGAGTCAAACACCTTGATCCTTGGAGCACCAAAAGAACGAGTCACGCATAAAACATTCTCAATTTCAAGTAAATAGTTCTGGCCAACTAAGAGTGGGAATATTATGCAATCACGTGCAACATCCTCAGAATTATAAAGGACAACTTCACTTTGTGACATCCCATATTTTTCTGTGCTTTCGTAATAAATTGGATCATCACTTGAAATTTGTGCATGGACAATGTGGTCTCGGTGGTCTTCCCCATCAACATTATTTATAGGAACAGGATCAGTAACAATAACAAAAGCATCATCGGTTTATAAATGGGATACAATTTTTTGTGTAAATGTAGCATGGCCCAAATTTGTGTAAGTCGACCAATACACATAGCCTAAATAAAATAGGGACTACAATCACTACACTTTTTTAGGCTCAGTCACTACACTTTAATTTACTTTTAACTGTAAAACTCAACTTCTTTTGTACTTTAGCATGAGTGCATGGCCGCCTAACTAAGCAAGCATTAGGTGTTAAATACGAGGACTTAAATGTCACCGTCATATAATTATCCCAAAATTTTTAATTCGTACTAATATTAACAATATTATAAAGTGAAATTTGTACTAAATATGATTGAGAAAGTAAAATTTGTACTATATTAAGAAAGTTATTATATTTTAGTCGTATTTAAGTAAATTACTCTATTATAAACTCTAATATAATTAAGCACACGATTTAGGGTTTGGTAATTGTATGAGGTATAATTAGAATTACAAGATTAACATGTTGAATTTGAGATAAATGTGTTATCACATTTTATTAGAAGTGCTAATTATGTTTAAAAACTATTTTCAAAATAATTTTTTTGCAAGGATCACCTTAATAAAAGAAATTTACATGGGCCAAAAACAAAACTCACCTACTTCATATTTTATAGGGAATAAGAACATATTTAACCTTTCTATTTAATTTAGGAATAAATTCACGATACGGCACACTTATGTTGTTTTACCCCCAGCCTACCGTGATTTTATCCGTCACGACGTGACCACCGCAACATAGCTGGCGTGATGAAGGTGAGACGGGGAAAGCTTGATCGCCATCACCCGAGCGTAGCCATCGTTGAAACCGATGGAGGTGGCTGTTTGGAGTATTATTTTTTCTCAAAAATTTTCGTTACAAAAAAATGACTATTTTAAATTAGTTAGAGTAGAGAGTATTCATCACCAAAAAATTCACATCTTATTCTTTAAAAATGAGTGGGGAACAAATCTGAAAGAATTATTTGGGAGAAAATTCTATGTATTTCTTCTCTTGTGTACAATTTACAATGAAGCCATATATATAGGGTCTCACAAGTTGAGACTCCTAATTAGTAAAGGAAAAAAAGGAAAAGGAAAGTATCCATATATAAGGAAAACTACCAAAACAAAATATACACAAATATCTCCTAATATTCTCTGAATATTCTTTTTCCTTTAACACCCCCTCAAGTTGGAGCATGTAACAAAGAGATGCCCAACTTGGGAATAAGAAACTCCTGTCGTGACTTCCCTAGCGCCTTCGTGTGTATATCTGCAAGCTGATGCGTAGTAGGGACATGAATGACACGAATCTCTCCTTGTACAAGTTCATCACGAACAAAGTGACAATCGATCTCAATGTGCTTCGTGCGTTCGTGGAAAACCGGATTAGCAGCAATGTGAAGAGCCGATGTGCTGTCACAACGGACGGTCATAGGGTTCTTATGCTCAACCCCTAAGCACCTCAATAAGTTTTTCAACCATTTCAACTCACAGGTAAGGACAACAAGAACCTTATATTCTGCCTCAGCAGATGATTGAGCCACCATTGTTTGTTTCTTAGTTTTCCAAGAAACAGGAGAATTTCCAAGTTGTACAAACCAGCCAGTCAAGGATCGCCTCGTCAAAGGGCATGCTGCCCAGTCCGAATCACACCATCCTGTGAGCTGAAAACTACTCTCTGCTGATAGAAAAATGCCCTGACCCGGACATCCTTTCAAATAACGAACAACTCCAAGAGCTGCAGACCATTGATCCTCCCTGGGTTCTTTCAAGAATTGTGCTAACGTATGGACTTCATAAGAAAGCTCTGGTCGCGTAACAGATAAATAAACTAATCGCCCTACCAGATGACGATATGGTTTTGGATCCGTCAGAACAGGAGCTTGGGAACGAGCCAAGTGATGATTCGGCTCCATCGGTGCACCCAACGGCCTCGCACCTAACAATCCTGCCTCATTAATAATATCCAAAGCGTACTTTCGTTGACAGAGAAATATCCCAGACGTGCTCCTTTCCACTTCTATGCCAAAAAAGTATTTCATTGTTCCCAAGTCCTTCATATGAAAAAAATCTCCTAGATAGGATTTGAACTTTCTCACCATCTCTGAATTATCTCCACCAATAATCAAATCATCAGCATAAACCAAAACATGTATTACTCCTTTCTTTCCAACAAAAGAAAATAATGAGTAATCTGGAACAGATTGGACAAACCCATAGCGTTTCAAGGCTCCAGACAACTTGGCAAACCAACACCTTGGAGCTTGCTTTAATCCATACAAAGACTTCTTGAGTTTGCACACCACATTCGACGAATTCTAGAAACCAGGTGGCAATCTCATATACACCTCATCCTGAAAATCTCCATGTAGGAATGCATTATGAACATCCATCTGATGCAATTCCCACCCCTTAACTGCTGCAACTGCTAAGAGTGTTCTCACAGTGGTCAACTTGACTACAAGAGCAAATGTTTCTTTGTAGTCAAGTCCTTCAACCTGATGATTGCCAAGTATAACCAGTCTGGCCTTATATCTCTCCCCACTTCCATCGGACCTGCGCTTGATTTTATACACCCATTTACAGCCAAGAGACTTTTTATGACGTCGAGGAGACACAAGAGACCACGTCCCATTCGCCTCCAGTGCATCAATCTCCTCTCTCATAGCCTTCCTCCATCGTTCATCCTGGAATGCCTTCTTAAAACTCGTGGGCTCCACTCCAGCATCAAGTGCACTAAGAAAGCACTTGTGTTTGTCGGAGAACTTCTCGTGTGTGACATAGGAGGAAAGAGGATATTTGCATTTTTCACCAACATATGAACCAGCTACATGGGTAACATAATCAGCAAGGCGCACATTTGGACGTTT